TACTGTACGAGTACTGCATGAGCACTGCAGAGTACTAACGAGCACTGCATGAGTACTGCAGTGTACTATATGAGTCCTGCATGAGCACTGCACGCGTACTGCAGTGTACTGTACGAGTACTGCATGAGCACCGCATGAGCGCTGCAGAGTACTATACAAGCCCCAACGAGTACTGCACGAGCACCGCGTGGGCACCGCGCTGTGTGTTTCTGTGTGTATCCGTGGGAGTGTGGGGCCAGTGTTGCAGATGCTGCTTGCTGGCCTTCAGGCGGGCTGTACCACTTAGGCCCGCTGGTCTCTGAATGCTCCCCAACCACCCCGACCGCGCCCTCAGCACACAGATGAGGGAAATGATACCTCATCCTTTTAATTTGCTCTTTTAAGTGCTGAGTATGGGCCAGACCTTTTCACGGGGCTGTGGCCATGTGTGTTTCTTCTGTAAGTTGTGCATTTTGCCCGTTCTTCCACTGTGATATTTCTCATCTTCTTACCAATTCATAAGCACTCTTTGGTTTTAAAGAAAACCCCTGTTTTCACTGGTCTTGCAGATTTTTTTGTTTGTTTGTTTTCTTCTGGATTTGTTTGTGGTTTTTTGTGTAGAGCGAAAGTTAAAGGTTTTATTTGGCCAAATGTATTGAGCCTGTACTAACACATAATTTTCATTTATATGGATAGTTATGAGGTTGTTTGTAAACGTATGTAAAATTGAACTGAAAATCACTTCACTGCAAATGCTTTCTAATTGCAAATGCTTTTTGGCTAGGCATGTTCGGATCCATACTGGAGAAAAGCCATACAAATGTGACGAGTGCGGGAAGAGCTTTACTGTTAAGTCGACTCTGGACTGCCATGTGAAGACCCACACAGGTAAGGACAGTGCCTGCGTCATACGTAGGGGCCTTACAATGGCGTCTGAGATTTGTTCCTGTGTATCTTGCCCACAGAAATACTTTGAAAATCATAGAAAGCTTAAAAATCCTGAGCCACGAAGAAATGGGTATATAAGAATTTTTGATTCCTGACTTGGGGAATATGACCCAGATAACACTGAGGAGAAGGAGCTTGATCTCAAATGCCAGGCTGTAGGTTGTCTTGTATTTTTATTCAGTTTTGAACACCTTTGTTAAGAAAATTACTTCTTAGTCTCATTTAGGCCAAAGAGATTTGGCTTGTTGAGGTTTTACAAGATCTGGGGATTTAACAAATCTCATTACGGTTCACAGGTAATAATTCTTTTTATGTGGGGGGAAATGTTTTAAAGGAAAAATATTAATGTCCAGTTTCCAATGGCCATTTTTTCCCCGCTCATCTCCTTTGAGGGAACTGAAGGTGAGTTGTCCTAATGAAAATATATTGAGGCTTTGCTTCTTGATGAGCACAGGGCATCCCAGTGGTTAGGGGGCAGGCTTTGTACCTCTGCCAGTTTGGAGGTCTGTGTCCACTTCCGAGCCACTTCTCTGAGCCTCCAGTGATTGCTTAGAAAGTGGCACATGGTGAACTCTTAGGAAATGGTAGAGGATTATGGTTATCAAACTAATTTATATTCTTAATTTTTGGTTACCAGCAGAATTGACCAAAAATATACAAAAGAAATTTCACACATTTATATAAAGCCGTATGATTCTTTTCTGATAGGTTAATATTCGGAATTAAATAGATACGTAAATGTAGTGTGTCTCTTCTGTGGGCAGTGTTTCTGTCACTTTGTTAGGTGCCATGTGTCTCTTTCTCTTGTGTGACGCTGTGAGCTGCTGAGGACCAGGAGGGGTCCGCTTGGCATCCCAGGTCCGGCGGGGGGTGGTCGCTGGCATGGCCGGTGCCAGTGGTGTTCAGGATGACTCGCACATGCGGGATTCAGGGCTGGCCCCCACACATAAGGAACAGAACAAAAGGTCTCTGTGAGGAATACCTTTCAGGCCTCCTCCTCCATGCTGGGCTCCTTGAGTGACCTTCGAGGCCCCCGAGCAGGGTTGGGACAGCAGGCCTCCCTCTTCTGGGGTGAGTCCCCGTGTGCCCACTCTGGTAAACAAGAGTCAGTATTGCTTTCTGGGAGCAGTAGAGGGAAACAGAAAACCAGGATGCTTTTGTCCTCCCAGAGCCTGTCCGGGGCAGAGTAGGTGGGTGACAGGGCACTCAGGCCCAGCTCCATGGCCTTCATCATGCCCTGGGCACAGGAAAAGCACGAGAGACCCAGGGGCTGAGCGTGTGATGCACACCTATGGCTCCAGGGTGCTGTCCCCTTGTGCAGGTGTGAGACACAGGTGCCGAGACACACATGTGCCCTTTGTGCACTGAGGCACAGGTGACCGCGCCGCAGGGCTGAGCTGCTCAGGGACGTGGGCCTCTGCTTCCGCCGAGGTTCAGGGTGGGCAGTGGTGCCCATGTGCTGCAGACATCTGAGCACGGGGACAGCGCTGGGCTCACACTGTAGACCGCCTACTCACTTCGGTGTCTGTGTAGCAGCACTCTGTCCCTTGCATGGCGTCCTGTGGGAGCACGGGGCTCCCTTCAAGCACTCGGGCCCCCGGGGTCAGCACCCCGCTGGCCCCTGCTGACCCCTGGCTGGACTCCCCACAGGTCAGAAGCTCTTCAGCTGTCACGTCTGCAGCAACGCCTTCTCGACGAAGGGAAGCCTGAAGGTGCACATGCGTCTGCATACAGGAGCGAAGCCTTTCAAGTGTCCGCACTGCGAGCTGCGCTTCCGCACGTCGGGGCGGAGGAAGACTCACATGCAGTTCCATTATAAGCCCGACCCGAAGAAGGCGCGGAAACCAGGGACGCGAAGCTCCTCGGAGGGGCCGCAGCCTGTGAATCTGCTCACTCCGGCGTCCACCGACCCCAGTGTGTTCATCATGAACAACTCTGTTCTCACGGGACAGTTCGATCAAAACGTGCTTCAGCAAGGTCTGGTGGGCCAGGCTATTCTTCCTGCCTCCGTTTCAGGTGAGCCCGGGGCACAGGGGAGGGCTCCTGAAGGCACGGACACACCCCGCCTGCCTGCTCGGGGACACTGCTGGGAGCAGGGCGACTTGTGTCTTCCTTGGGAGTTCCCCACGGGGGCAGCTGGGAAGAGACTAAAGTGTCATCGTTCGGACGGGTTCCCTTCCGTTCCTCCTCCTCGCACGACATCTGCTTTTTCTTTTTTTTTTTTTTTTAAAGATTTTATTTATTTATTTGAGAGAGAGAGAATGAGAGAGAGAGAGTGGGAGAGGGAACAGGGTCAGAGGGAGAAGCAGACCCCCTGCTGAGCAGGGAGCCCGATGCGGGACTCGATCCCGGGACTCCAGGGTCATGACCTGAGCCGAAGGCAGTCGCTTAACCAACTGAGCCAACCAGGCGCCCACGACATCTGCTTTTTCTTACTGGGTTGAAATGTGTGTTTTTCTCAGCATCCTCCCAGACTTCACAGTGAGATGTGTTTGGTAACTCCTCATGCACAGTGTAGGTAACATGGGAGAGTTCGCTAACTGCTCTTGGGTCACCTAGTGCTTGAAAAGTATACGTTTTGGCCATTTATGGGTTTTGTGGATTGACAGAGTGGCTGGGGCTAGCTACCAGACATGTGTTGTGGCTTTCTGTGTATGTGACCCGTGCAGTGATTAAAGTCTGAAAAAACACGATTATTCGTTGCTGTTTTAAATCTTGGGCTAATCAATGTAATCTCTTTGAGCCTAGTTTCCGGGTGTGTTTAAGATGGATGATATCTATTTCAGAGGATTTGTTTTGCGTTGAATCAGCTAAGGTGCGTGTATGGCATGGGGTAATTATTGGTACCTGTGACTAGATCATGTTGGCGAGGTGTAGGACTTGGGTATATAAAAAGCCCTACGTGAGAATGAGCTTCTTTCCTGTCGGAGGAGCTTTTCCAAAGGCAGTCATCCACGTTGTGTCTCTTTGCAGCCGGCGGTGATTGGACAGTGTCCCTGACGGACGGGAGCCTGACCACCCTGGAGGGCATACAGTTACAGTTGGCCGCTAACCTGGTCGGCCCCAATGTTCAGATCTCTGGAATCGATGCCTCCAGCATTAATAACATCACGCTGCAGGTACAACACGTGCCATGGTGTCCTGGGCTTCGATGTGGTCAGAATGGCATGTCAGCATGAACTTTCCACAACGAGTATCTCTGTTGCTTTGCAGATTGACCCGAGTATTTTGCAGCAAACGTTACAGCAGGGCAACTTGCTTACTCAGCAGCTGCCGGGGGAGCCCAGCCTGGCCTCACAGAACACCTCTCTTCAGACCCAGGACAGCACGGTCCCAGCCAGTGTCGTCATCCAGCCCATCCCTGGCCTGTCCTTACAGCCCACCGTGACATCCGCCAGTCTGACCATCGGCCCGCTGTCTGAGCAGGACCCTGTGATGACCACCAGCAGCAGTGGTAAGTGAGCGCCGTGGGCACTGAGGACCCTGGGCTGCCCCTTCTGTCTTTGGGAAGCTCAGCAAACACATCAAATGTCCCAAGAGTACCTAAGCTTCCCTAGCGACAAGTGATGTGTAATCACTGTACGCTCCTAGATCGCTACCCGCACCTGTTCCCGTGGACCTGTTGGCTTCCGGTTTCACCATAAGCCTCTCCTCTGTCTCTGCAGGAGGGGGTCAGAGATGACTGATGTTTTCTTTTCAATCTTCTTTTGAAATAACTGTCTCACTGAACGTTTTTAATATAAAAAAGGAGAAAATTACTATTTTTTTTAAGCCCAGCTTTATTTTGTTTTGTAATGATGACCAGGGACTCAAGACCTCTCTCAGGTGATGACATCTCAAGGCCTGGTGTCCACCTCCAGTGGCCCCCACGAGATCACCCTGACCATTAACAACTCAAGTCTGAGCCAGGTCTTGGCACAGGCTGCCGGGCCCACCGCTGCGTCGTCCTCAGGGTCTCCTCAGGAAATCACCCTGACCATCTCTGGTTAGTCACTTCACATTTTAAACCTGCTTTTCCCTGCGATTTGAGTATACCTTATTCGTATGTGTATGTATGTTTGTTTTTTTTTTTTTTTTTTTTTTTGCAGAACAGAGTTTTGCATACAGCCAGTGCTCAATACGCATTTGTAATAAATGTGGGAAATTCAGGTTTAGTGAAATAGTGTCATAGTTCAAATCTAATACCAGAAACTAACAGTGAGAGTTACTCATGTCCTCCGGCTTGAGTCTGTTGTCCTCTCACACTGATCTGGTCCACGGAGAGCAGGCTACATAGCTTCTTCGTCCATCTTCCTGCTCCATTAAACTGGAGGCGTCTGACTGGGATGACGTGTGTGCAGGCGCGTTCTAGATGCCTACACTCCTTCTCGGGATCCTGCACAGACTGTGCAGGACAGTGTTAAGTGTGCTGTAGGGCACTGAGAAGTCCCTACTCTCAGTGGGACTTCTGAGTAGGGACTCAGAAAATACCCTCTGGGTGTGCAGGTCACTTGAACTCGGCAAACCAGTCCTATGTGTCAGCCACCACGCAAGGTGTCCCTGTGCCAGGACGGCTGTGCTCGCGGTCAGATTGTCCTCTGGTGTCATTAATTCTCCCAGCACGTTCTCCTCTGGCTCAGCCTGCAGCATATTTTATCAGTGTGCTTTGCCCACGTGACTCTTAGCTGTTCGGTAAATGAAGCAATAATTTTTGTGGCCCTTACGTGCCAGGCACTATTCTAGTATTTTTACAGATATTAACGCATTTGATACTAATTTATTTAGGCCTCATAGCAACCTTATGAGGTGGATGTTAAAGACAGGAAAAACATTTTGCTAGGAGGCAGGACACTGTCGCTGGGGAAGAGGGAGCTTCATGGTGGACGTGGGAGCATTTTCCCTTAAAACACTGGGAGTAGTGGTGGGCAGATTCCTGGACCGACCCAGCCAGGGGAGCAGGCCAGGCTGATAGAGTCGCGTTTCAGGGAGATTTCTGCAAAATTTGTGAGTGCAATAGAAAAGTTATTCAGAAGGAAACCAAAAGCTTTCTTTTTTAGGGAGTGTCTTTATTTCTTTTACTGTATGTGACAAACTTGAACCCGTTCTTTTTTTTTTTTTTTTTTTAAAGATTTTATTTATTATTTATTTGAGAGAGAATGAGAGATAGAGAGCACGAGAGGGAAGAGGGTCAGAGGGAGAAGCAGACTCCCCGCTGAGCAGGGAGCCCGATGTGGGACTCGATCCCGGGACTCCAGGATCATGACCTGAGCCGAAGGCAGTCGCTTAACCAACTGAGCCACCCAGGCGCCCTTGAACCCGTTCTTGGATGGAGTTTTGGTTTGGAGTGACATGGAGTGATTTTAGATGCTATTAGGCAGCAAACATTAACTTTCAATTTTACATAATCCAGTTACCTTCCTGGTTTCTTTGTATATATCTGAGTTTTAATACTTTTTTTATTTTAAGGAAGTTGTTTGTTGAGCGAGTTCACTTGTCTTGAGTGCCCTCAGTGTATGAGGCACTGTGCTAGTCTTGCACAACAGGCCCGTCCTGCAGGGTTCCTGCTTAGTGTTCAGACTGTGTGTTACTTAGCGTATGGATTGTGCTACTCTTTCTTCCGTGTTTTCCTGTTCTTGATCACAAAGTTATTTTATTACTCATCAGTATTTTCCAAACAGTAAGGAGACAGATTTAACCAATTTTTTAAAAAAAATTGGCTATAAAGGTTTATCCTGGGAGAAATCTTTAAACCAGTTGATGACACGGGGTTTGCCCAAACCTTGGGCTTGAGACTTCTTGTTCTCAGTTGTCATTATTGTGCTCATGGGAATTGGCAACTCACACATCAGTGTTTCCTTACTCCATGCTAAAAAGGCTGTAGGAAAACTTTCAATTTACGGTCACTTGTTGAAAGCGTTTAGGTAGGATTTTCAGTTATTTTGTAGGAAGTTCTTCTTTCCATTAGTGTGTATAATTATACATGCTTGTCCATGTTAGGAAGCGATTATTACTTCAGTGAAGTTTTGTGGACTTTTAGCAGTTCAGAGGTCATTTGAGAAAGAAACTGAACATTGGGTAAAAGGCAAAAATAGTGCTCAGGCTCCCAAACGATCTAGTTCCTCTATATACCAAAGCCCTCTTATCTGATGTCTCAGCTAGTTTTCAGCAGAGAATCAAAAAAGTGGTACCCCACGTACCCTGACCCTTCAGCTACAGGCCTTTTGAAGACGGGTCTGCTGTGCTGATCAGAGTTCTGTCCTGTGCCCGGCACGCACAGCTGCTTTCCCCTTTCTGTCTCTGTAGAGCCGTGTGAGGGTGCTGCTGATGAAACAGCCGAGGTCAGCGTCCTTCTGTCTTTTGATGCTTTTCCCTCCAGTTTGCAGAGTTGTCTTGCTTAAGCCTAACTTGACAGTAGATTTTTTTTTAAGGTGACTTGTTTGTGTCCAGTCTTCCCAAAGCATTCAGTGTGGGTTTTGTTGACATGTCAGCAGACTGTCCAGTTCTCCCATGCATGTTTCCCTACAGTATCACAGCTTTTGTGACCGTTATAGCTACAGAAGCTGGAGTGCACAGGTTTAGAACCGAAGGCCAGTGCCCCCCAGTGGGCATGCACCCCAGGCACGTGTGAGCCCCAAGCGCCGTGGTGTGGGGAACCCTCAGCCAGGAGCCGCAGCATCGCTGCTTCCTCGAGCCCCGGCGGTGGGAGGTTAGGGGAGGGTCTAGCATCATTTTGTCGTGTCCCTACGATGCACTTAAACACACGTTTGCCATAAGTTCTATTCAACAAAGTTTGTAATTTTAAGTGCCTAAATACTGAGGCAAAGTGCCAAAATACTGCTCAAAATACTTGAGCAGCGCTTCAAAATGCTTCACAGCTTACAGAGTGTGAACAAATACTGGCATTTAGGGGAAATGAATGTATTTCATGGTCTTTTCATTCTTTTCTGTAAGTATTATTATAAATGAAACAGCTTTCATTTTAATAGCATGTTATTTTATGTTTAACCCGCTTGCCAGGATGTGACTTAACGTGTTACTTTCAGATATCACAATATTAATTTCCATTTAGGTCAAGATCTTATTCAGCACAATGCTAATGGAAGTAGTGAAGTGAACGGAAGCATAAGGCTATCAGCTCCTGCTGCCAGTGGTCAGTCTGCAGGTGCCACCCTAACCATAAGCAGTGACCAGCTGCTCGCCCAGAGCGCGACCCTGAACTCCTCAGGTACGCAGCCAGCGCGTCAGCACCAGGGACGTGATCCAAGAGCCAGTCGCAGGGCTGTGTCCCGGTTGCAGGAGAGAAGGCGCCTGTCTTCTTTCCAGACTGGTGTGTCAGCGGTGTGTTCTGTCACCTGGGACAGGTGCTTGTCCCTCCGTCCAGGATACAGTTCTGCTCTAGAGTTACCCACCAGTTAGTCGTTCTGCTGACTAAGGAGTAAAAGCGAATCGTCTCATTCAGATAGACAAGGTGCCGGGTGTTAATGCACATGGGCTTGTTGAGGACTCTGTCCCGAAGCTGCCCCCTGCCACCTGTGCGGGGACCTGCCTAGCTCATGGCCTCGTGCCCCGCAGCGAGACTCTCCTGGCACCAGCCCACACGACGAGAACGCAGTTTTAAAAAGGCCCCCTTTCTAGGGTTTTGAAGTGTAGACTTTGATAAATAGAAGCAAATGAGCTCTAGTAAAATAAGTTACAGATTCACAAGGACTCGTCAGTGGTTTATGATGACATGCCTGTTGCCTTTTTTTTAATCTTATAGAGATTTTATTCATTTCTTAGCCTTCTAATTTTCCAACTTTATCGTTTTTTGAGAAAAAATTTAGTATTTAGATATGTTTGTAGCTACAGGAAGGCTTTTTTTTCATGCTTATTTGAAATGCTTTCTTATGCAGTAATTCATTTCTTCAACAAAAGACTGTATGTGTATTGTGTGGCAGAATTGTACTGAATCTGGGAATGTGACACTGAGCAGGACAGACATAGCCCCTTTGCCTTTTGGACCCTAGAAACTGGTGGAGCGGACTTCACTGAAGAATCTGTAAAGCGTTGTAAAATTGTGGCGGTAACGACAGGTAGAGGAGAGCAGGTCAGAGGTCACAGGGCGTTCACCTGGTGGGGTCGGCTTCTGTGAGAGCGGGGGCATCTATCCTGAGTGTGGCAGCGCGGCGCTGGACAGAGGCCCGTGAGCTGAGGTGGGCTGGCGCGTCCCAGGGGGGCACGGTCCCCTCGGCACAGAGGAGGAACTTTCTGTCCACCCTTCTCGTCTGCTAACGTGTGCGCAGGCACCTGCGTGGTTAAGGACTTCGTCTGAATCCTGTGTTGGCAGATCCCAGCTGCATTTCTGGCGCGTGAAGTTTCCACTGCATCTGTGCTCTCCGTGTTTCGTGGGCCAGCGCGTGCGGTTATCGTCGACTCCGTTCTGGAACGTTAGCAGAGTCCCGGCTCCTCGCCGGCCTGCTTCCCTGGGGCGCATACTGGCTGGCAGGGGTGGGATCGTGCGTCTCTTTGGAAGCCCTGCTTGACCTCTTGAATGAGCTTGGCAAGTGGATGGAAAGACAAGGAGAATTTTTGGTGTTTTAATTTAAATGGAGTGGTTTTTTATGCTACTTTGGTGATCCTGGATGTTTGCTGGTACAGCAGACGACTTCGTTGAAAGTGGGACACGTTCTGCTCAGGGTGGAGAACACATGGGCTCTGGGGGCTCTGCCGGCATCTGGTTGGTTAGATGTGGGGTCTCTTACCTCCTGCGTCTGCGTCGCCTGCACACTTAGTGACAGGACTCACGTTGCGGGGGAGGGGTCTCTCTGTGCGGCGGGGGGAGGGGTTGGAGCAGCTGTTGTGCGTAAGGACCACTGTGAGTCACGTACTCGTGGTCCTTTAAAAACCACAAACATTCCCCTTTTCCTGACTGAATCTTTGTCTCTTCTTTACACTTACTGTCTTAGAACTGGCTGAGAACACTTCTTTTCTTTAGCGTAATTTGGTGCCTTATTTAAAATTTTTTTCCAAGGAATTTAGTGAAATAAAAGTTGAGCTCCTAATTTTGAATGTTTAAGGATGTGATGTCAGCTGTTATACACAGAGGTTAGTTTTATATGAGCAGGTCACTTGTGTTATGTTCTCCGGTACCTTTGGCATCTTTGAATAAACCTGGATATGGGAAGGGATTCTTTCTGCGTTGAACTACTCAATCCTTGATGGTGGGCAGGTATTTTTGGAGGTTTGCACATTCCACTGGTAGGAGTTATAATAATGGAACTGACCCCGTCGGTATAACATTGGTTAAGAGATTGCATCTTGAAAGGGCAACATTTTCCTGAGGGTCAGAGTCACTCCCAGGCCCGGCTTCAAGCCACACCAGGAATTGAAACTAAAAATGACTTTGCGATTAGCCATGTCTCTTCTAAGAAAAACAGTAAAACAAAAACTCTCAGTGTTTGAAAGTGCCACTTTATGTGGCCCTTTAGATCAGAGCACAGCACAGGTGCCCGTGGCCGTTGTCATCTGGAGTTCCCTCTGGGCATGAGATGCCGTTGAGGCTTTCAGCCTCTGGGACAGCTTTGGCCCTTTGCATCTTGACTGCAGCACTGAAAACAACAGGGCGTCCCCTTTCAGGGGCATGTAAATAAACAAGTACCGCAGAGTTCCATGTGCAAGACAAAAGCACGAGCTTCTCTTCAGGTATCTGACACGGGGTCTGAGGCCACTTCACGGTCTGACCCTGCCGCATCCATGACAACATTGGACACACATGGTTTTCTTAGGACGTGGTCACACGTGTTGTGAGCGCCTTCCCAGAGGCAGAAGGTGTTACCAACAGGCTGGAAGTTTAGTATGGCTCTTTAAGGAATTTATCTCAAATGGCTGTTATCTTTTGGTTCTTACCTTTGTCCACTATTAACATAATTTTGATGAATAAATTGAGTCATGTTTTCAGTGGGAAAAAAAAGCCACAATTCTGTTTTTCCTTCCTTTGTAAGGTTATTTTGTTTCTTCTGGATTTAAATACGATCAATTACTTCCTTCCCAGCAGCTCAGAAGTCTTAACATTTCCCATTTGTGGGTACATTTTATAATTATGGAGGACATTTTCCCCACTTTCTCCTTGGGGATGAATGGCCGGACGATGTGTCTCCCTCTTCCCGCAGTCCCTCCCAGCACACACACACCTTTTCTTGCCACGTTTTTATCTCAAGAAAAAAAGTGATCTCACATCCTTAAAACTGCTTATGAAACTTTCCAAAATTATCATTAAGTTTTCTCAGAAGCTATAAAAATTATCCCAACAAGGATTTAAGACAGTGATGGGTTTGATGACCATAAGGGATTTACTCATCCTTTAGAGGTGACTTTTTTTGAGTTAGAACCGTAAACTGAGTAAGACTTAGATTTCTGTGATGTGGCCTGGAGGACTTGCGGTTTCAGAGCCGGTAAATGAGGACCGAAGGTGAGAGTTTGCAGTCTGTGCTCCAGTAGTCAACCTTAATTTCCAGGTTGAGAGTGTTCAGTTTGAATGAAACTGTAGTTTCTAGAGCTTTAAATAAATCTTTTTGTATATAATTAAGAACTATATGTTGAACAGATGTGATTGAAGCTTTTAAATAGTTATGCTATTGCATGTTTTAGAAAACTTCATTTTTTCCTACTCACATTACCCGTTTTTGGACCATTTTGAGGCTAGAAGTTCTACTTGAACTGATACCATCCTCTTGGAAAATGTCTTGAATGTGGAACGTAGCTGAACATGCATTCACACACTGTTGGCGTAGAGATGTGAACTCTAGCGTTGGCTGAGGTCCTCACTGGCCTCTGTGTTGGGATTCACCTCAGCTCAGTGACAGGCTTCTGTTTCCTCTTTGGATTTCCTGTGCCTGACAGTCCTGGACCCCCTCACTGAATTAATGATCATCAGGGAGTCCGATTCTGCTGGTGGGGAGCGGAGAAGAGACGTTCCTTTATTTCAGGAGTCCGGGTGAGGCTTGAAGTCTTGGCCTTGTGAGTCGCAGTGGACCCCGTTAGCCTCTGGTTTCACTCTGTGTAGATGTAATTCTGGTGAGCCTTTCACCACGTGCTTCTCTTGACCGGGCGCTTTGACGGCCCAACCCCAGTCCTCACCCTGGTGATTTTGACTGGACACCAGTGCATGTAGCTGGTCATTGCCATGTCCCCAGGATTCTTCTTAGTCTTCGTCCGCTCGTGTTAAAATCATACGTGCGTGCTAGTCTGCGAGGGGAAGGGGGCACGGAGGTGACGTGAGAACACGAGGTTGACCCACGTACTGGTAACTGGAGTGCTTAGAACATACACCCTCCACAAATCCACACTCCTCTGGCCCCAGCGTGTCCTAGCAGAGTCCACTCTGCGCAGATGCTCAGCGAGGTGGGAGGGGTCGGACGAGGTTGTCTTTGGAGCCCCGGTGGCTGCTGCAGAGCAGAGACTCCTAGCCTCCTAATGGTTATACTGCTTTTGAAGGTTCCAGGTCTGTGCAACACAGTGTGGGACTCCAAGAGTGTGGATCTATGGAGGCATTGTATTTGGAGGACTCCAGTTACAAGTAAGTAACCTAGTTTCCCTGTTGGCCCCTGACGCAGAGCAGAGGCTCTGGACTGATGGGGCCCAAGTCACAGCAAAGTATCCACAGGAGTCTCATTTTGTTTTCAAGCCTAATTAGGAAATAGTGTTTTCACCTTTTGCTTTCATTACCGTCTTGGTGTCCGTAGCACCTGTAGCCCAGGGGCTGGCCCAGGGGCTGATGAGTCCCATTGTTAGATGAATGGAAGGACAGATGGTGAGGGGTGTGTGTGTGTGTGTGTGCACACGCATGTGCATGTGCGTTATGCTTACAAGTAAAAACTCAAAAAATTGTTTTCTGTGGGTGTCCACCACAGGACTTTTGACAATTCCGTGCTCAGCCGAGTGCATGAGCTTCTGTTTTGTAGAAGAAAAGGCCTTTCTTTGCCTGATTCTGTCCCGGATTTCTTCCTTTCTCTTATCATTGGCTACAAGGGGAAAATACTAAAAAATCTTGTTGTCTATTCCAAAGAAAAGTAAGATGTCGTGCAGGATAAATTAATATTTAAAGGGTTGCATGAGGTTTACTTCAGCCTTAGCAGACATAGAGGAGGGTGAGGGGGCGCTAAGCAGGTATGGTCACACTGTAGGCCGTGCTGCTGATCGATGTTCGGTGGGTCCCGTTTGGTTCCTCTCTTCAGGCTCCTCTCTGGTCCTGGACGGGGACAGTGTCCTGGACATTCTTGGCAGTTTCCTTCTGCCTTAGCAGTAGCGACTAGGACTATAGCATCACATTTTTACTCTTTTACTGTGTTTTTCTTGATATTATACTTAAGCAGAATGTATTTATGCATAAAGAGATTCAGAGACTGTAGAAGCCTGGCCTTAAAATTGGAATGAGAGATTCTGTGATTATCTTGGTGTAATTTCAGAAGCTTAGGTAATGTAAACGCCGATTCTGACAGATTAGTTCCTTCCTAAAACCACCCTCCCATCCCGTTATGATTGGACTTGCCCAGCTTTGCCGCTGAAGTGCCTCTTCCTTTTTCGTAGAGCTGAATGCTACCCCTGGAAGCCTTCCTTCGACGACACCCATGTCTCCATCAGCCATGTCTGCTCAGAACCTGGTCATGTCTTCATCAGGAGTCGGAGGAGATGCCAGCGTCACGCTCACTCTGGCCGATACTCAGGGCCTGCTCTCCGGAGGACTGGACACAGTCACGCTCAACATTGCTTCTCAGGTAGGGCGCCGCCCTGCCCTTTGTGGGGGGTCGTGGCTCCCTTCAGTTTCTTCTTTCCTAAGTGCACATGCTGGGCATCGTTTTCAAAACTGAAGTGGTTTTTTTCTGATTAAAATATAAGTAATGTGTTAGATGCAATAAGGAGACAGGGAAATTCAGATAAAACAGAAGACTGTTTTTAAAAATCCACTGGCCAGACGGAACTGTGATTGACCCTGTAGTGTATTGATCCTTCCGAAGCTTTATATGCAAACGTGTAGACAGATATGTTAACATTTCCACAGAAGTGAGCTCGTGTATATGTCATGTACTGTGAACTTCCCTCTTACTACAACATGAACACCTTCCCCATCAGTGATTTTAATTTTTTTTATTTTTTAAGATTTGTATTTATTAATTTTTTTAGAGAGAGAGCAAGCACATGAATGGGGTGGGGGGAGAAGCAGAGGGAGAGGGACACGTGGGGCCTGACCCCATGACCCTTTGCTAACTAGGCCACCCAGGTGCCCCCCCCCCCCCCCATCAGTTGATTTTAGGAATGCAAAGGTTTTTTAACGGCTCTGCAGCATTTAGTTTTATGAGTTTGTTGAGGGGCATCATGAACATTCAGGGTTTCAGTAAGTAGTGTAGAAATTCTCACGCTTTCAGTGATTTACGGTCTTAGGTGAATGCCTGCAGTGTGCCGGATCGAAGGGTGTGCATTTTGCATAATGCATTGAGCTGAGACACCGGAACACCTTTCAGAGTTTAATTAGAAAAACCGTGATAAATTATAATGGAGAGTCACTGTACTAACCCTATCTGGTCATTCCCCTTTCTGTGTCCCTGTCCCTGCCGTAAGCACGGCGCGATGTGCTGAGGGATCAGAAGCAGGATACGTTCTTGTGGCTCGTTCGTGTGCACTCAGGCTCGCCGCACAGGATGAGGAGTTAAGATTGTGGCCTCCAGGGCAGGAGTGGTCTGGCCGCATCCCAGCCAGCCACAGGGTGGCTGTTTGGACTCTGGATTCTAGTCCTCGCCGTTTGTAAGAGAGGGACATTTGTCCGCCCGGCCCGGCCAGTGCGGAGCCAGTCTCAGGCGGTTCGTACCAGCAGGTCGTTGTGCTTCGGAACCGCTCCCGCGCTGTTGGCAGAAGCCCTCCCAGGGCCCCTGGCGGGAGTCGGCTCCCGCGGGAACACGCGGCCCGCTGCAGGGGAGTGGGGGCGAGGGCTGGCTTCCGGTCGGCTGACCAGCGTCTCCGCCAAGTAGCCCTCTGCGGAATAGCCCATGGTGGCCGCGTCAGTGCCGGAGGCCAGGGCCTGCTGTGCTGTCCTCCCCTGCGTCCTTTCACTGGGAAGGAAGAAGTATCTCACTGAGTTCTTCACATAGTGTCCCATTTACTTCTTCTCCTGTGTTAATCATCACCTGTTTGTCAGGACATTATCATCTTCTAGATATTAAAAATTAGTATTACATTTTAAAATTATAGTTGGAACAGGAGGGGCCATCTAAGAGGTCAGCGGTGTATTTTCTTTCTAGACGCAGGATGCATGGAGCTTGATTGGTGTTTGGTGGGTTGTTGTGTCCTTATTTCCCACCCGGGACTCTCGTGGTGACGACTGTAAGGGTAGCCTTGTATTGCGGTCCTGGCGCCACCTCGCCGCTGATGGGCACTGGCAGGGTGCAGCCGTATGCGGGACGCGGCCCCTGTCCTGCGGTGTAGATCCGTCCACACTCAGGGTCCGGGGTGGCTCCTTACTGTAGACTTGTAACTACAGTAAAGAAGTAGTCATGACGTAAGAATTCTTTAAGATACAAAATTTAATGAAATTTAATGCCTTGCAGGGTGGGGTCAGGTTTGATCAGAAAAAGCCAGAGGCCCATTTATTTCTATGATTATGGGTTTGTTTTCTGTTTGTTAAATTCTGTCACTTTGAGAATTAATGATCATTATAATTGCAGTGAAAGTTCAACGAAGAGTTCTCAGTATTTGCTAGGGTCCATTTTTAAAGTCTGTAAATATTTGCTGGGGATGTGTTTCCTCGGTGCACTGGGTGGTTGCTGGGCCCCCGACGTGCCCCCAGGCAGGCTCAGGCTCATGGAAGCCCCCCAGGCAGGGTGCAGGGGTCGGGGCTGAGAAGGAAGGATCTCAGAGGGCATGGGAACGAAGTGTTGATCCTGACGGCAGCAGCGCTATGATGATGTAAGGCCCACGTGCAGGGTGAGTGCAGTGGCGGGCGCGGGTTCTGGCCCCACCGTGGCTCCATCAGCAGCCCCCCCCCCCACTCGGTGATACTGCTTGGCACACGTATGCACACGTATGCGCTGCTCCTATGGCTAAAACTCTTCCGTGGCCCCTGCTGCTTACAGCACCAAGGCCACGTTTCTTTACAGACGTGGCCTGGAGGAGTCTCTGCTGTCTGCTCACTGGCCCCCGTCCCTTCCTCCTGGGTCACACCCAGCACAGATTGCCGATCTCCCCACACCCCCCGCTCTGGCTGTGTGTCCCCCCACCCCGGCTCTGTGTCCCAGGGCCATGTCAGGCCACGGCAGGCCATGGCAGGCAGTTCTCCTCGTCAGCCGCCCTCTCTCTCTCCTGCCCCAGCGCTGATGTCCAGCCTGGCCGGGTTTGAGAGCAGCGGGTGGGGGGTGGTGGCGGCCCTGAAGTTGGTCCGGATAGACGGCCGCTCCCTCCTGCATGTCTGTGGGTTACCTTGCTTATCTATACTCTCTGGCTTACTTTCCCCAAATTGCCCAATCAAAAATTTAATCCCAAATTGATTAATTAGCATACATTGTATAAAACAGTGGTATTAAAAATTTCCATTAGAATTTCTGTAGTTTTATTGGAATCCTTTTTGTTAGCCGCCAGACTTGAATTGAGCTCACAATGATCTAATACTCTGAAAATTTGAAAAAACCAGATCAAACCTGTCTTAGCTTTATGAGTGATATTTTTCTAAATGTAATGAACTGTTGCAAAAATAAAACCATCATTCTGTTGTCAAAAGTTAATGAACATATATGGAAATGCTTATAAATATGTAAATTATTAGGATTGTTTATGACCATAAAAATTTGAGCTGGAGATCAAAGGTGCTTGTGAGAAATCAAACATTCTAGAAATAATTGTTCAATACAGATGAGAGTTAGTCACTAAGAGGCACAAATATCGAAGGGTTTAATAATCCCTTAACGTAGTTCACAACGTGTGCTCTCCTTGAATTTAGTGAGGAAGTGAAGTGCGAGCAACGAGCAAGGGCCACGGGCAAAGGCGGCAGCCGATCCCACATGTCTGCTCTGAAACTCACTCAGCATGTGGAAAACCGGGGCCTGCCGAGAGCCACTGAAGGAGCCCAAGAGTGCGAACCTGTGAATTTTAAGTGTTAAAAAGACATGAAAATAGTATACATTGTGTACCATTTTTTCTATGTTTTTGTTTCTTTATAAATTCCACAAGAGAAAATGGTGGTAAAAGCACAAAGGGGTGTGATCTTCAGTAGTTGACTCACATAGTGGTGTTGGGTGGCTTGAACCCAAGGGTCACAGTTGAGTCTGTAACAGCAGAATGTTTGGAAAGGAGACATTTATGTATGTCCGCAAGTAATCGTAATTTTAAACTTGCAAATAGCCCAACTAGAGAAGACTATTACGTGGGGTAAATGATCATTTTGATGCACCACAGAAGAATTAGTTTATTTAAAAATACACTCTGTTGAAGTAAAAGTTAAATTACAGTGATGTACCTGCATGAAAATGTAACTTCGTGGTTGCTTTACTAGGGAAATTATTGAAAGAAAAATTGGTGGGTCATAAAGAGTTCTTCTTCAACTACAAACTTGAGATGAGTTTTTCTTTCCAAATTTTGGACTATTGGTGGCAGGGGTGGGGATCAGGCCACTACATCTGACGATTTTATAAGGAAATGCAAGCATTCACTTAAAAATCTATTCAGGGGGGCACCTGGGAGGCTCAGTCAGTTAAGCGTCTGCCTTCGGCTCAGGTCCTGATCTCGGGGTCCTGGAATCGAGCCCCGCATCAGGCTCCCCGCTCAGCGAGAGGTCTGCTTCTCCCTCTCCCTGCCGCTCCCTCTGCTTGTGTGTGTGTGTGTGCGCTCTCTCTAATAAATAAAATCTGAAAAAGAATTTTCAAGAAAGCAAAGTGATTTTTCAGTTCTTGTTCTGAAAACAAAAATAAGTAACTGATTCGTTCCTGAAATGAATTCTATTTTATATGAATTCTTGTAGGTTTGGTGTTTTTTTTTTTAATTTTTTATTGTTATGTTAATCACCGTACATTACATCATTAGTTTTTGATGTAGTGTTCCATGATTCATTGTTTGCATATAACACCCAGTGCTCCACGCAGAACGTGCCCTCTTTAATACCCATCACCAGGCTAACCCATCCCCCCACCCCCTCCCCTCTAGAACCCTCAGTTTGTTTCTCAGAGTCCATAGTCTCTAATGGTTCGTCTCCCCCTCCGACTTACCCCCCTTCATTCTTCCCCTCCTGCTGTCTTCTTCTTTTTTCTTAACATATAATGTATTATTTGTTTCAGAAGTACAGATCTGTGATTCAACAGTCTTGCACAATTCACAGTGCTCACCATAGCACATACCCTCCCCAATGTCTATCACTCAGCCACCCCATCCCTCCCACCCCCCACCACTCCAGCAACCCTCAGTTTGTTCCTGAGATTAAGAATTCCTCATATCAGTGAGGTCATATGATACATGTCTTTCTCTGATTGACTTATTTCACTCAGCCTAACACCCTCCAGATCCATCCACGTCATTGCAAATGGCAAGATCTCATTCCTTTTGATGGCTGCATAATATTCCATTGTGTATATATACCGCCTCTTCTTTATCCATTCATCTGTCGATGGACATCTTGGCTCTTTCCACAGTTGGGCTATTGTGGACATTGCTGCTATAAACATCGGGGTGCACGTACCCCTTCGGATCCCTACATTTGTATCTTTGGGGTAAATACCCAGTAGTGCAATTGCTGGATCGTATGGCAGCTCTATTTCCAACTTTTTGAGGAACATACATACTGTTTTCCAGAGTGGTTGCACCAGCTTGCATTCCCGGTTTGGTGGGTTTTTTGTTTGTTATTTACTTTATTAGAATACAGATAATTGACCCGGTACAAAACACTCAAACCTTGGTCGTTAGATATGGAAGTGTGGTTTTGGGTCTTGATAAGAAGTCAGAGTGTGACTGTATGCTTCAACGGAAGTGGTGGGTGCGATGGAGCAGGGGTTCCGCTCTAACAGTCGTGCGTTGTAGTGCCTGGAGGTGTCCTAGCCTGGGCTGCCGAAGCCTCCCTGCTTCCTTCCTGTGAGTGCCGTGGGCCTGCCTGGGTGTTCTTGCTGCAGCACGGTGTGTATTATGTTCAGGCGGGCATGTTGAGTTGTGTAGGGCATGGCAATGATGACTGCTGAGAGCAGATCCCTGATGAGATGATGGAACAGGGAAACACTGAATGAGGCTGACTTTCAGGGGCGTGGTAGGGAGTTAGGTTGGCTGTCACACCAAGTCTCGTCTATCAGGGTGGCAAGCCTTAGTGATGTTTGAGCAGCATTTCCCAAACTTGGCTGCACATCAGAATCTCCAGGCTCACCTTGCAAGTGTGATTCAGCAGCTGTGGGTGGGGCTGGACTCTGCTAGTGAGCACCCGGGGCCCGGCTCCCCTGCCCCACGTGCACTCGGGAGTGAAAATTCCTGTAACTTCCACCTTGGTGTAAACCAAAACATAGCCAAGAAATAAATACACTACAAGTAATCATCAAACCGAAGATAAAGGACTTTCAGATGGTATCATCTTAGCAGATTCAGGTCACCACTTCCTTGGGTGTGGCTCATTGTTGAGCATTCATTTTACTAGACACTGATTTTTAAAACAGGTGTATGCATTAAGAATACTTAATATTAGCGATTGAAACACTAATAAGCTACTAAATTACATTGTATTGGGAGTTTTTTTAAATTAAAACTTTTTTATTTTATTTTATTTATTTGACAGAGAGATAGAGAGAGAGCACAAGTAAGCAGAGAGGCAGGCAGAGAGGGAGAAGCAGGCTCTCTGCTGAGCAGGGAGCCCGACGTGGGGCTCGATCCCAGGACCCCAGGATCACGACCTGAGCCAAAGGCAGCCGCTTAACCAACTGAGCCACCCAGGCGCCCCTTAAATTAAAACTTTTTATTTTGAGTTAATTGTTGATTCATAGTCCGTCTTAAGAAATGATACAGACAGACCTTGTGTACTGTTTACCCAGCTTCTGCGGGTGGTAGCATCATGCAAAACTCTAGGTATGATATCACAGCCAGGTATGGTTGTTGTTATAGTCAAGACCCAGAACCTTCCATCCCACAAGTGTCCCTCATGTGGCCACCCACTGCCCCTTCCCCCTGGCAGTTGCTAATCTAGTCCTCAGGGCTATAATGTGTCATTTCCCCTTGACTAACCTGTATCAGTGCAGAGTCTCAAAGACCTTAGCTTTCATTTGAGAATATATGAGTTTATTGAGCCAACACTGGTTCTTACAAAAATTGGAATTTCTGGCTAGCAGTGGTATTTGTCTTTGATTCGTAAAATTAGGAAATGTGAATTTATTAATTTTGACTGATACCATTTTCCCAAATTGGGTGGTCTGGTAAGAGGGGTGGCAGAGCCGGTGGCAGACGAGTGACAGGAGTCAGAAGTGACTGGTACTTGAAAGCAGCGATATTCAACTAACTTCTGGTGTAAGTGGGGTGGCAAGCTTTATTGGTACGCGTAGGACCTTGCCAAAATATGCCACATTCGTGTAAAAAACTTCGATAAATGGAGACACCTAAAATATCATTTCACTTTTCTTAAAGGTGCGTATGAAAAGCAGAGAATCCAAATCAATTTAAGAAGCTCCTTTTCTCTAGAATCCATGATGCTCTCCTTGTAAATTTATATTCTGCCCCGTGTTCTACCCCCATTGTCTCTGTGTCCGTGTCTGCCTGAGGAAGTGTCTTTCCCATGAGAAGTAGACCTGAAATTCTTTCAATGCCTTCTCATTGTCCTTTGCCTGCTCCAGTCTTTATCTGCCCCGTGGGAGCTGGGCTTGCCCCAGAGAACACCCCTCATCTTCGGCCGGGGGTGCCGTGACCAAAGTGCTCTTGCTGACTCCGTGCCCCTCTGTTGATGGCGGCTCTTCAAATCCTTGTGTGTTCTGATCACACGTAACGTGTGTGAGAATCAGCGTTGATTTGGCAGGTGTACAGGTTTGTGTGGCTTCCCATTTGGAGCCTGTGGTTGGGCCAGCCCAGCCAGACGCCCTGCTGCGCGCCCCACCCCACCCCACCCCACCCCACCATTCTCTCTTTCTGTCCCAGATCCACGGTCAGTATGAGAGGTGCTGGAGTGGTGGTAGGACTCAGCAGTTTGTGTGCATTTGTAAACGAATAAGCATTCTTTATATTTACAGCGCTGTTGAGATGTACCATATATACTGTAGTGTTCACCCATTTATTTGAAGTAGAATTTAATGGTCTTTAGTATACTTACAGAGTTGAGCACCCATGACCACATCTACTTTTGGAACGTTCCATCACCCCAGAAAGAAATGTGGTACCATTAGCGGTTAGCAGTCACTCCCCGTGCCCCCCCCGCCAAGCCCCAGGCCCCCGACAACCACCAGTCTACTGTCTCTGTAGACGCACCTGTTCTGAGCATTTCACATCAGTGGAATCCCACAACACGTGGTCCTGTGTGGCTGGTCTCCCTCACTCAGCATCCGGTTTTCGAGGCTCATCCGTGGCCTGGCCCGTGCCACACACTCCAGTCCTTCTTTTGGCTGAATCGTATTCCGCCATTCAGATACACCTCATTTTGCGCATCCACTCACCAGCTACCTGATACTGGGGTTTCCGCCTTTTTGGCTGCTGTGAACATTTGTGCGCGAGCGCTCAAGGAGGTGAGGGTTTCATTTCTCTTGAGCACACACGTGGGAGTGGAGTTCTGGGTCATGTGCTGCTTCTGTGGTGAACTTTTCTGAGGACCTGCCCACGTGTGGTCCCCAGTAGCTGCACCGTAAGAGATCTCGTACGTTACTACTGGATTTGATATCGTCACAACTTCTAAACTAGCCCGTCTTTACTAGGGTCAGCAGTTCCCAGCCTTACTCGCGGATCCCTCGCTGTCGGGCCAAGGGGGAGCAGGTTCTCCGCAGGTCATCCTAGTGAGCCACACCCCCCAGCCCTCCGCCGCGGCGTGTGAGGAAATCGCCTACCAGGTACGCCACGCACCTGCGTTCACACTCAGTCGCGGGTTGTAAGGAATGTGGATTGAGAGGGGCTGGTCCCAGAGGGTTTGGTGGGGGGGCCGGGGGACCGCTCCTGGGGGCCATCTCTAGCTGAATGGGAGTGAAGAGCCTGGGCTGAGCCGCGCAGGGCCTGGGGGACAGCCTGTGTGGAACGGTGGGTACTGACTCCCTCATTGCATGATTTGTGGTTTGCTGGGGCCAGGTTTTTGTGCCACAAAATAAGATGTAGAAACTAGTCATGTGCGAGGCTAGTTTTAAATTTATTAAATCTCCTATTCGCCTACAGATCGGACTTCACGTGGACACTTAGTTCTTTTCAAGGGTTTTCTTGTAATACCTTTGCCGATTCTTTTAGGTCTGGTTGTACCTTTTTTGTATACACACGTGTGTGTGCGTGGACTATTTGTCATTTGATAGTTTTTTCCTTAAAATGTATGTTTTGAGGGTCTAAGACATTTAGTAAATGATAGTTCTAAATATAGAAGACTAATAAAATCTCTTTCCTTCAAACTTTTCAGAGTTAGAGGTAAAGTACAGATAATAAATAACCACTGGCTCTGAGCAGCATTACATTTTATGCAGTTTGAGCAAATGAGTTTCAGGACAATTACTTACTGGTCTTTCAGTGGGACAAGACTCCTTTCTTATAAAGAAATTAGACATGGTCAGCACGGGGAGTTTCCCCAACCGGAGCTCATCCAGATGGAGGTGAGTTTGTGTCTCGGGCAGGACTCGGAGCGTGCCGGCGGACGCGTGGGCGCAGCGCTCATGGCTCGCGATAGCGTGGCTCCCGGGGAGGCCCACGTGTGCCCACGGAGGACACTCGCCGCACGGCTAGCTCCGGCCCCTGTCGAGTCAGTGCGCGTGGCTGTGCGTGGCCGGCTCTCATCCTGTGCTCCATGTCTGCAGGTTTAGTGCAGCCCGAGCCTCTTCGATTCCAGGGGCTTTCAGGCTTCCTTTGACTCACAAGAAACAGGTTTATGCACTGACCTGAACACGTAGTGTCTTTCCGTTGTTTCTTTGCTTCACACGCACAGACCCCTGACAGAAATGTCACAGGGAGATACCTCCTTTGTGGCGGGTGACAAGACTGCATCATCTGGGCGCTTCTGATCGCTTGTTTTATCCTTTTTCCATTCCGTTCTTTTTTTTATTATAGCACAGATGAATGATCTGAGAGCACCTTATAGAAATCTTTTGTTGTTAAGTCTTTTTCTTTAAATTTTATCCATTTCTATATATTAGAAAATTATGAAAAAGTACTTGATAAACTAGAATAAAGATGTTGACAAATCCCATCAATTTTCATTATAATTACTTAAAATTTTCTTTCACTAAGTTGTCATATACAAGTTTTTATCTGCAAAACTAAACTCTTATTTATAAAAGCTGGGTAATAAACTCCTGCTTTATTTGTTTTCGGGGTGTTAATGGCATCCCATTAAAATGATTTGAAAACCTCATTGGTTGTGATTCAGAGTTTCGGGCAATGCTTTAATCCACTCAAGAGCTAACATACCTTCCGCAAAGTGTTATTTATCCTGCAGTTTGCTGAGAGAGCTCTTGAGCCAAAGCAGTAGCATTTTGGGAGCAGTAGCCTTTATACTTGTCTACGCTAAAACTGCTACCGTTAACAGCACATACTGAGTGCGTGCCGTGTGCTGGGTATCGTTCTCAGCACCCTGGGTACTGTACCCCGATACTGTTTATCAGATGAGTCACAGGGAGGGAGCAGCCAGGGCAGTTTGCCCCTGGACGGTTGCGTGCACAGAACACTGTTCTGTTCGCTAAGCTCTGCTCGGAGTCCAAGAGCGGGCTGGTCTGATCCGTGGCCGTTTCCTGGGATGACAGGCGCCGCGCTGGGGGCCGCGTGTACTTGCGTCGGCGTGTGTCTATCATCCTGTTGTCTGTCCATTTACAAACTGCAGCCACTGAGTAAAGTCCGAGATTTCCGACCCGCTGCAGGTAGCTGACGTGTCGGCCAGCCTGGCCCAGGGCGGGCCGCCCGAGAAGGAGGGCCGGATGCACCAGTGCTTGGAGTGTGGCCGCACCTTTGCATCGGCCGCCATGCTGCTTCACCACAGCAAGGAGGTGCACGGCCGGGAGCGCATCCACGTGTGTCCCGTGTGCAGGAAGGCCTTCAAGCGCGCCACGCACCTCAAGGTACGCTCTGCTGTGCTCTGGCCACCAGTCCCCGGGGGTGAGAGACACTCGGTGGAGTCTGTGATTCAGTAGAAGCCATGAATCTCACTCACAGAAAGAGTAACAAATTTTCCCATTTTTTGGAGGGAAAGGTCAGTGGGATTTTAGTTTTATCAGATCCGCTGGGTTATATGCGAGTGCAGTTCTGAATCCATGTCTAATGGGACTTAAAATGACAATGAGATACCATTTCCTACCGAGCAGAGCAGCAAATAGTAAAAAATCTGCCAGCACCTAGTGGCCGGACCGTGGGGAAGCAGGGTCGCCTCTCTCCCTGGGGGCCCGCACTTGGCACGGCTTTCTGCAGGGGAACAGGGGCCCCTCGGCTCCTGGCTCCGCACCCACCTTGAGAATGGGGTTCGCATGCCAGGAGAGGGGCTGCGTAAACGCTGGGACATGCACGTGGTAGGGGAGAGGAGGAGGAAGGGCTTTGGGAAGTGATTTGCAGGGCCGCGGTCGGGTGACATGCCGCGGTGGGGGGCGTGGACCTGGCCCCGCGACTGCCGGCCAGCGCTCCTCGTTAGCAGACGCGGCCTCATCTGACCGCTAGTTAGCCCGCCATGGATCCCGCCTTCTGCTGCACGGTGAACCCGGATGTCTGCCCTTCAGACCCACAGCTCGTTTGTGTGCCTCGTCTCTCCCTCTGCCGTGTTTTCTGGCAACTGCACGTGACCTCCTTCACCCATCCCACAGCCCCAGCCTAGTCGTGAGAAACACTTCAGACAGTTCTCAGTCGAGGAGCAGCCTACCACATAGTGACCAGTGATCCTAAAAACTGTCCAGGTCATCGGCAGAGGGAGGGCAGAGGCCCCGCGGAGCCGCACAGCTGGTACCTGGGGGGTGTCCGGGGGTCGCCCCCCACCCCCACTGAGTCCCCGAGGGCGCTCATCCCAGATTGGCCTCCAGTTGTCCTTGCTGCTCACGTGGGCCCCCGCGGTCGTGTTGCAGGTCTGGAGAGTCCCACCGGGATCTTAAGTATTTCTTCCCTTCTGTGTGTGGTCTATAATAGGAGCACATGCAGACTCATCAAGCTGGGCCTTCGTTAAGCTCCCAGAAGCCAAGAGTGTTTAAATGTGACACCTGTGAAAAGGCGTTCGCCAAGCCAAGCCAGCTGGAGCGGCACAGCCGCATCCACACAGGTAACCGCGAGCCGCACACTTCCAGGTCAGGGTTCTGGAAGCTGGAGAGAAAATGAGACTCAACGTGTAAATATTCCTTTACAACATAAGCCGTTATTTGTAAAGCCAGGTTCGCATATTCTGTTCTTTCCTTCATTTTTCATCAGTTCGTCAGGCTGACTTTTCAAGTAAGAGATTTTGTGGTTTCCTTGGCGACCGTGGGGAGTAGAACTGTTAAGGGCTGCCGTGGCCTCTGGGGACCTTGCCTGCATCGGGGCCCCCCCGCCCCCACCTCCGGGCTCCCTGTGCTCCTCCTGCGGGGGACGCCATTCTCTCTCCTCCTCTTACTTCTTCAGGCTGTTCTTTGCTGACTTCCCGTCACCTCCTAACCCTGCTCAGGCCTGTTGTCTCAGGAAAAACCACCACCACCGAGACACAAACCCCCATCTCCCTGCCTCTTGGCCCACCTCCCTGACAACTCACTTGCACCCTCCGCCCCTGCCACCCTGCTGTGGCTCACGCGGAAACACCACCGGTCCCGGGCCCTGTTTGCTGAGGCCTGTCCTTTCGGGACCGACGGCGGGACCTGCCTCCCGCTCTGGCGGGCAGCCCCGTGTTCGCACAGAGCCCGACAGAAGCCCTGGGAGTCTGGCAGATGGGGACCCTCCCGTTCCCCTCTGAGCACGGGCAGGTGGGACCCTGGTGTCCTGTAAGCCGTCTCAGCCACTGATGCACACCCTTGTCCTGCGGCACCCGGCCGTGGGAAGCCTCGGGGACCCACACATCTTGCCACCTGGAGTCCCGACTTTGCTCCCTGAGCGTCCTCTCTGCTGGTCCCCTCTGCCCGGCCCGTCACCCTTGGCCTGGCCGCCTTTGATTTGCCTGCTGGTGTCAGCTTGGACACCCCTCCCCAGGAGGCCTCTATGCCCCCCGGTGCCCCTGGCTGGCCCACAGACCTACTTGTATTGTCAGCAGGTGCTCCCCATCAGCGTCCTTCCCCGGCCCTCGGGCTCTGGTGTTCTCAGTGATGTCCCTGCTTGTCGACGCAGACCTGGCACGACCAGGTGTTCAGCGAACAGCTTTTGAGGGAAAGACAGACATGATGCTATATTTACTCAAAACCATGGTTTTAAGGGATAGAGACTACCGTTTGCCTGTTAGCACGAGCTAGGTGCTTCCGAAGGTTTGGAGAAACCCGCTGAGGGCATGTCGCTGTGGGCCCTGCCTCTGCTGGCTGGGTGCCCCCCCGCCCCCCGCAGTGTGCACGGCGTCTTCAGACCAGCCATGGCCCCTGTGCAGCCTCTGGTCCCTGCTGCTCCCCTTCTGCTGCTTTGAAGGGGTGTGTGTGGGCCCGCCAGGGTAGTCTCCTTGTGACTCCGCCCGAGTCACCTGACTCGTGTCACAACCACCTCTGTGACATCCTTGTCCTTCGGGCGTGTGACGTCCTCCCATGCCCGGTCCCGGGGATTAGAGCCGGAGAGCTTCGGGCTGCTCTAGGGCCCTGGCTGGCATGGGGAGCGGTGGTAAGCCCTCCCGTGTCTTGGCCACTGGGTGGGAGGGACATACTTGGAGTGATGGAGGGTGACACCTGGGGAGGATGCCAAGCAGGTGCTACTGGAGCAACCACGTGGGGCTTCATGCGGACACGTGGTCCAGGGAGGCCACGCAGGGAAAGGGGGTGGACGCCTGACCACGAGGCAGCCGCGCCGACGGGAAAGAACCTTCTAGGCCCAGGGGAAGGGCTTGTGCCCTGGGGGCCTGGCAGTGGACGAGCGTGTGGGGCAGAGTCAGGGACAAGGAGGGGGCAGGACTTTGGGCTCAGGCCGAGCCGGGCTTCCAGCAGGGGTCAGCGTGCCAGCGTCCCTTCCATCTTTCAGTCTCTGTATTAACGTCAAAGCAGTTAAAATGACATTTAAAAAAAATACTGGGTAAAGTAATTAAGTGGATTTGACATTCTCATGAACTTAGCGTCATTTTGCTTTACTGCCCCAAATGTGTTCGGAAGGCCTCGTTTAGACCACGTGTGCTCCGCTTTTATTTGTGGATGCTTTTAGGAGTTTGAGTAGCTTTTGATTAGCGTTGTGTTCGTGCCGGAGCATGGGGCAGGGCTGCGAGAGCTGCGGGTCGGCAGTCCGCCGGGGGCCGCTGGGGACTGGGGCCCGTCCTGGCGCGCGCTTGGCCGCGGGCGGTGCTGGCGGGACGCTGACGCGGCGCCGTCTGCCCTCAGGAGAGCGGCCGTTCCGCTGCACGCTGTGTGAGAAGGCCTTCAACCAGAAGAGCGCCCTGCAGGTGCACATGAAGAAGCACACGGGCGAGAGGCCCTACAAGTGCGACTACTGCATCATGGGCTTCACCCAGAAGAGCAACATGAAGCTCCACATGAAGCGGGCGCACAGCTACGCCGGTAAGGCGGGCGGCTGCGGGGCGGGCGTGTGGGCTCCGCGCGGTCTTCCCGAGGGGGGCCGGGTGGGCGCGTGCGGGGCCGGGGGCC